CCTACCCATCTTCCATGAACTTCACTTTTAAGTGCCACTGGAGAAGGGAGGAAGAAGAATATGCCTAACTATTCAAAACCTATGATAAACTAGAAAATATGTGATACATCAATGCATTGTTTCATCTAATTCTCAAAAAGAAAGATAAAGTAACATATACAAAATCAAATAGCTGGTAATTGATAGAGCTGAGATTCAAATCCTGATATCCCTGATGCCCCTTGCCTTTTTTTTTTTTTTTTTTATATGGACTTTTTTTATTGTTGCCCAGGCTGGAGTGCAATCTTGTAATCTTAGCTCACTATAACCTCTGCTTCCCAGTTTCAAGCAATTCTCCTGCCTCACCTTCCCAAGTAGCTGGGATTACAGGCATGTGCCACCACACCCGGCTAATTTTGCATTTTTAGTAGGGATAGGGTTTCACCATGTTGATCAGGCTGGCTAGTCTTGAACTCCTGACTTCAGGTGATCCACCCACATTGGCCTCTGTTTCGGGATTACAGGCATGAGCCACCAGGCCTGACCTAATCCCTTTTTAAAGTCCAACTTCTTTCCACCACACCCACCTTGCATCTTAGTACATGGGGGTATACATTTAATCAACTATCCAATACTTACAGAGAACAGCTATATGCTCCCAGTAGCCCCACCCACACCTACATGGATAACTGAAAGAAAACTGTCACGAAACAATGCTTATCCTTAGTATGTGCAATGTGCTCTAACATTTTCTATATTCTTCCATTTCACTTAATATAAAATAAAATGCTATTCAGTTCCCACTAATTTTATTTCACAACTACCGATGAGTAGCAACCCAAAGTTTCAAATACACAGATGAAAGGGTACAAGGCCACATGAGATGGAAAATTTACCCTCAATAAGTACTTAATCCGGTTGGAGATATAAGAGTAAAACACAACTCTTTTTCCTAAACACCCCTCCAACCCACCTTGTTGGAGTAGGAGAACCTACATTCCTGTTGCTACCCTGAGCTTCCCTATCATAGAATATAATCCATAAATTATATAGGCTATAGATGTAACAAGTATTAGGCATTCAACAAATATTTGTTAAGTGAATGAATAAATGAATGAAAAGTGCTATGGATTTTCCGAGGGAGAAGTAGATAGCATAAACTCTCTCCCCACCTATATCATAATCCTCTGAGGACAGGAACAATCTTTTGTATAGTTGTATATCCAGAGTTCAATGTTTGTAGATGTTTTAATTTTTACAAATCTGAGCCTTATACAGTGAGCTGTGAGTGTGTCACTACACTCCAGCCTGAATGCCAATGCAACAAGACTCTGTCTCCAAAAAAAATAGACTGGCCACAATGAATGTGGAAAAGCAGATAAACATGAATCTTTGTGAAAGAAAATCGATAAAAAAATTTCCAGCTCCAGGCCAGGTGCGGTGGCTCAGGCTTGTAATCCCAGCACTTTGGGAGGCAGAGGTGGGCAGGTTACTTGAGGCCAGGAGTTCGAAACCAGCCTGGCCAACATGGTGAAACCCCATCTCTACTAAAAATACAAAACAATTAGCTGGGCATAGTGGCTCGCACCTGTAATTTCAGCTACTTGCGGGGCTGAGGCAGGACAACTGCTTGAACCCGGGAGGTGGAGGTTACAGTGAGAGAAGATCACACCACTGCACTCCAGTCTGGGCAACAGAGCAAGACTCTATCTTAAANTCGCTCCGTCGCCAGACTGGAGTGCAATGGCGCAATCTCGGCTCACTGCAACCTCCGCCTCCTGGGTTCAAGCAATTCTCCTGCCTCAGCCTCCTGAGTAGCTGGGATAAGAGGTGCGCGCCACCACACCCAGCTAATTTTTGTACTTGTAGTAGAGACAGGTTTCACCATGTTGGCCAGGATGGTCTCAATCTCCTGACCTTGTGATCCGCCCGCCTCGGCCTCCTGAAGTGCTGGGATTACAGGCATGAGCCACCGCACCCAGCCTCTTGTCAATTCTTTTCTGATCCCATTAAATTTATTGTTCAGGAATAATCCTGAATAGTAGAAGTTTAAAGGACAGGAGTATATGAAAATAAAAGAAGTAAAAAGAAAAATAAATTTAAAAACAGATAATTTGGAACTATTTATTTACTCATTTTTAAGTTATGCTTTGAATAATTTCACTAGCCTTTATGTATTTGTAAAATAAATACATAAAATTAAAGGAAAAAATTATAGAATATTTCCTATTTATATAGCATCATACTACAAATATATTTTATCTTAGTTTGTAGCATCAGTCTCAGATAGATTTTGTGGTTGTTATTCTTTTAGATTTTAAATGGTTCAATTAGCCTAAAGTTGTGGAGAAGGTAGGGAGTTGGTAGGGAGGATAGGGACGAGGTCAGAGAAAAAGAGATTAAAAAAACTGAAAGATATACATGGATACGGTTACACTCCAAAATAGCATAAGCTGGTCATAATAATTTTTTTTTTTGCTATTAGTATTTATCATTTGATAAATTGAAAGGATTAAGAAAATATTCTATCAATTCTCTAGAAAAAATAAAAACCTGCTGCATATGACTTTTGTTTAGTAAACTTCATATTTAAATCCCATGTTCTTCTTAAAGAAATGGCTGAAGGTTCCGCTTTTACTTTTTTTAATATTCACAGGAGAAACATTAGTAAAAAAAAATACACAAACACAGGTTTAAAAAAGTTTCTGAAAGTATATGTAGAATATGTAAAATCATTATTTTAGAAGATCCATGTAAAAAAGAAACAATGTTATTCTACTGGTACCTTTTTGTTGGGGGTAGAGTGAGGCAATATCAACACTTATGGTAAGAATCACAATTACTCCAAATAAAAAGATGTCCTTTTAAGGTTTAGGTAGGAAGAAAATTCAATCCTTAAAGTTATGCCAAAGGTCGATTTCTGTATTACAATGCTTTGGAGTATAAACACAATTTTCTGAACACCTATTATACGTCCAATACCATTCTAGTCAGGAATTACCAATCTGCAAGGCAGACAGAATCCAAGCTCTTGAAGAGCTTACATTCCACAGCACATAAAAAAAGGACAACTAAAGGCCGGGCAGGTGGCTCAAGCTTGTAATCCCAGCACATTGGGAGGTCAAGGTGGGTGGATCACTTGAGGCCAGGAGTTCAAGACCAGCCTGGTCAACATGGCAAAAGCACATCTCTATTAAAAATACAAAAATTAACCAAGCAGGGTAGTGCATGCCTATAATCCCAGCTACTAGGGAGGCTGAGACAGGAGAATTGCTTGAACCTGGGGGATGGAGGTTGCAGTGAGCCAAGATGGTGCCACTGTACTGCAGCCTGGGTGACAAAGCAAGACTCTAACTTAAAAAAAAAAAAAAAAAAATCTAGCTCCAATAATAATTATTAGCCTCTACTCTAGATCTTTATTATTCAAAGTGCAGCCCCCACTATCAGCATTACTTGGGAGTTTGTTAGGAAAGCAGAGGCTCAGGCCCCACCAGGACCTAATGAATTAGAACTCCCATTTTAACATAATCCTCAGGGGATTCCTAACACACATTAACATTTGAGAAACATCAGTCCACACAGTAAAAATGAAATGGGTGTCTGCAACCACAGACAACGTATCACCTCCTGTGTTATCTCTGAAATAAATAATCCGACTTTTCAAGTAGTATTACAGATACAGTCATGACACACTTTCAGGGACATTAGGGTATAAACCTAAATTACTTCAATGAGAAATAATAATTGATCACCTGCTAAATATTGAAACTTTTAGAAGACATACAAAAATATGATCTCTGTCTTCTTAGGGCACAAACTCTGTAAGGTAAGAAAATGAGACAATGCACTTCAATGGCCCAATTAATAATAAACCTTTAATATCAAGGATAAGGTTATTGAAAAAAGATTTTGACGAGAACATTTAAGAACATTTTTAATAGTCCTCAGTGTTACATATATATTGCCAAATATTCCCCATTAATTGACCTATATATAAAGTTGTGTAACAGAAGGAACTAGGTGACACAAAGTCAGATGTCCTAACCAAGTTCACTGACTCAAAGACTGGCATCACCCTTTAAATCACCACAAACAATCTCATCCCAAGAGTCCGTTCTGTGAACTTGCAAAAATGCTTGCAAAACCCCCAAATCACAGTCCTGTCATCTCAAAACTGAGTCAAGATCTGAGGTCACAGGGATTTAGGGTCAAATATGCCTTCTTCATTAAAAAAAAAAAAAAGGCAAAATAAAACAGGGGAAATCAGATGATGGACAATTGCAGGTCTTCTCATAGCCTCACTGACCTACAAATACCTCTCCATCACAAGGCAGGCCAGAGGAAAATAACCGTGGTCTTTGAATTCACGTTTTTAAGTGTCCTAAACTTAATCCTAAAAGTTGGGAGCCTATCCTCTTCCTAGCAACAGGCATTCAGATGACAGCTCAACCTCTAATTCCCCTCCTCCTTCTCCCGTGCAAGAACTGGGATATCCTCCCCTTGCGACTCCCTATACCCCGGTCGCCCCCAAAACACTCCGACCCCTCCAAAAGAAAGCCCGACACAAGGCAAGTCCCCCAGAGCCCCTCGGGAGCACCAACTGCAGCCCGCGGCCCATCCTCCAACACTAAACTCTCCCTGCGGGAGGGCTGACGGGTCTCACCAAGTACAGAGGGGCATAGATCTTCAGGGACTCCTCCAGGGCGCCCCCAGTGATCTGCAGGAAGGAGACGCAGCAGGAAGGGTGCCAAGTGTGGCCGATCTCATAGCAGTTATGAGGGATGGACTTGCTGATGGCCGCCATGACGAGGAACAGCGCGGAGGAGCCGGGAGGGGGAGAGCCTGCGCCCTGCAGGAAGGGGCGCGAGAGCCCAGCTGCCAGCCTCTGTCCCCGCCGGCAGCCGGAGATGCCGAATGGAGGGGAAAGGTCACGAGAGCGGGGTTACTCCGGGCCAAAGTCCTCGGATGTTGAGCACTCGGCGTATCGCTGTTCAAGGGGGCGGGACGCGCACCGGGGAGGCGGGGAGAGACGGCGCGTGCGCGCTCCCGCAAGAGGGCCTCCGCTGGGACGCGCTCCCGCGGCGGCGGCGGCGCGCGATGTCGCTCAGAACGCGGTGCCGGGAGGTGAGCGGAGGGTTCGCCCACCGAGCGCTGGCCATACGCGAGGGAGAGGAGCTCGGGGACGCGCCGCCTCTGGCAGGAGTGCAGTAGGAGGTGGCTTGGGTCAAATTGTACTTCAGCTTCCAAAACCAAGCCAAGTAGAAGGGAGGATAGTGGAAGAAAGGGATTAAATGTCTTTGTTGAGACCTGGTGGAGGAAGAGGGTTGCCAGAGGAATGCCTGGGAGAAACGTCCTCCCCAGCACTGCCAGCTCGCCTTCCCGAGAGTCCTAGGTAATAAACAGCTAGGGCTGCCTGCTACTTGCTACCTGCTAGTTGCAACTGAATTGCACCCAGTTGCTGGGCTTTCCAAGCTATGTGGTACCTGGGAAGGCTTGAAAAATCTCAGCTATGTTCATACCCCGACCGTGTGGGGAAGGGCAATAATAGGTCATGCTGTCCGAACTCTACGTCACGTTGCAATCCTGTCCACAGCATCCTTGATAGGTGCTTATCAACCAAATAGCACACACTGTAGACCTGGCTAGGCTTGACCAACAATTAGCATGACAAGGGTCGTGTGTTGCCTGAGTCATATAACCCCTCTGTCAATTTCCTCTGGTATAACAACCTACCAGTTTCTTTGGAATTCTAAACTCCATAGTGTCTTAAAGCAGAAACGAACTACCTTTAGAAGAATTTCATGCTAATCTTCTAGTCTTCATTCATTCATCTAGAAATATTTACTGAGTCATTACTATTTTCCAGGCACTGTGCTAAAGAAACAGACAGAAACAAGACAGAAAGGTATTTATTTTCTTGAAACTAGCTCTGCACAGGGAGAAGACAGAAAATAAGAAAACTGAACAAGGTAACATCAGATAGGTATAGTTGTTAGAAGAAAATAAAAGAGGAATATTCATTTGAAAAGCCCAAAACAACAATGGCAAAAAGATAAAAGTTTCTTTCTCTCAGGTAAAGGTAGACAATCCGAGGATAAAGTGGTGGCTCCATAACGATTAGGAATCCCAGCTTCTTTCTGACAGGTTGCTATGCCAACTGCTACCTGTGATTTCCATCCTAACTTATAAAATAACTCCATCACCTAGCATGATATCAATATGCTAGCCAGGAAGACCAGCAAAAAGGGAAGAGAGGCCAGGCGCTGTGGCTCATACCTGAAATCCCAGCACTTTGAGAGGCTGAGGTGGGTGGATCCCTTGCGGTCAGGGGCTTGAGACCAGCCTGGCCAACATGGGGAAACCCTGTCTCTACTAAAAATACAAAAATTAGCCGAAAGTGGTGATAGGCACCTGTAAACCTAGCTACTCTGGGGCTGATGCAGGAGAATCGCTTGAACTCAGAAAGCGAAGGTTGCAGTTGGCCAAGATCACGCCACTACACTCCAGCCTGGATAACAGAGAGAGACTCTGTCTCAGAAAGAAAAAGGGTGGGAGCGGGTGGGGAAGAGAAGGGCATACTTCCTTTCTTTAAGAAAACTTCTCTGGTCTGGGCTGCAGTGGCTCACACCTGTAATCCCAGTACTTTGGGAGGCTGGGGCAGGTGGATCACAAGGTCAAGAGTTTGAGACCAGCCTTGCCAATGTGGTGAAACCCCATCTCTACTAAAAATACAAAAATTAGATGGGCATGGTGGTGGGTGCCTGCAGTCTCAGCTACTTGGGAGGCTGAGGCAAGAGAATCCCTTGAACCCGCGAGCCGAGACAGGGCCACTGCACTCCAGCCTGGGCAACAGAGCAAGACTCTGTCTCAAAAGAAAAAGAAAAGAAAAGAAAACTTCCCAGAAGATCCATACAAACTACTTCGACTTACATTCTTTGGACAAAGCTTAATCACATGGACACACTTCATTGCAAGGGAGGCTGGGGAATACAATATTTTTTAATTAATTGGACAAATGCCCAGCTAACATCTAAGGTTTTATTACTGAGCAAAATGGGAAGAAAAAAAAAACAGATTTGAGGAGATGAGGGGCAACTAGCAGTGTCTGCTATAGTCCTATGTCTCTGGCTACCCAAATATCTGAGCACATCATTCTTTCTACAGATAGACATACCCTCCCGTTTTCAAGGGAGACAACCTAAAATCCCATGCAGTTGCTGAATCCTAGCCAAAGTCCAGAATATTTCTCAGTACCAGATGCAGATCTCATGTTAAAGTTAACACCCCCCTTAACACATCCAATATGCAATGGTAGAATAGGAACAAGATAATCACAATTTTTTTCAAATCTCCAATTCAGAAACTAAGAGGATCAAAAACACAGCATAAACTTGTCCAAAAAATTACAGAAATAGCAGTGCAGGCTTATTTTTATTCAATACTCCATTCCTGAAAATCTATTATCCTTCCACCAAAAAATGCTAAATAGGAACTTAGTTTTAAATGGGAAAATTAAATGCATTACATTTCAACCAAAAAATTCTTAACAAGTATTAAAATATACTAGCAAATTATTAACAAAAAATTATCATGTTAGGATGTACAATCCTATACAAATAGCATCTTATTCACCAAACAATTAATATGGGCTGGGCACAGTGGCTGACATCTGCAATCCCAGCACTTTGGGAGGTCGAGCTTGGTAGATCACCCGAGGTCATGAGTTCAAAACCAGCGTGGCCAATATGGTGAAACTCCATCTCTACTAAAAATATGAAAAGTAGCCAGTCATGGTGGCAGACGCCTATAATCCCAGCTACTCCAGAGGCTGAGGCAGGAGAATCACTTGAACCTGGGAGGCAGAGATTGCAGTGAGCTGAGATCGCGCCACTGCGCTCCAGCCTGGGCAGCAAGATTGAATCTCCATTTCCAAAAAAAAAAAAGATCTAATGCGGAGGATTTAACAACACTAAACTTGTTCAGATCTATATACAGTCAGTCATTGTAGAAATACTTATCAGGCAAAAGCACAATGACAAAGTATGGCTCACTCAAAATACGATACTGTAGTAGCTCTTGATTCCAGCAACATTCAATAACCAAGCTTTTCAGTATAGCTACATATAATTCTTATTTCCTTTTTTTTTCTGAGACAGAGTCTTGCTCTGTCACCCAGGCTGGAGTGCAACGGCACGATCTCAGCTCACTGCAACCTCCACCTACCTGGCTCAAGCAATTCTTCTGCCTCAGCCTCCCAACTAGCTGGGATTACAGGCGTCTACCACCACACCCAGCTTATTTTTGTATTTTTGGTAGAGACACGGTTTCACCATGTAGGCCAGGCTGGTCTCGAACTCCCTACCTTACATTATGCGCCCACCTTGGCCTCCCAAAGTGCTGGGATTACAGGCATGAGCCACCAAGCCCAGCCATGATTCTGATTTTCTACTAATTTTTGTTGCATCATAACTTCAGATTTTTCCTTACGTCATTTATTTAAAATATTGAGTTTCTAAGATGTAAATATAAATTTTAATATTCAAATCCGTAGTATTAAAAGATGCATATTCCCTTTCAGTCCAAGTAGGCAGTGTGTCCACCAATACAATTCTCTTTAAGATTTTGGGGACTTCATATATATCAAATTATAATCCACTCCATCAGAAGAAAAGCCTCTTTGAGACAAACGCTTCCCATCTTGGGCTGAGAGTCAGAAAGCTGATGGAAAATGCCCTTATACACTTAGAAGGGCTTTTGTCTAGCTGAAATGGTCTAGATAAAACGGCTTTAAATCTTTGTACAGTCTTTACAAAAAATCTAAACAGCCACACTCTGGATTTTACCTTCCCCTTAAGGCAATGCCTTAAATGCAGAACCTTTTACCATCTGGAAAGGCAGGGAGTAAAAAGCAGTTTTATTTTTGAATCCAAAGTTCATAGACTCTGTATATTTTCTCTAAATTCTGCTTAAAAATGGAATCATTCCTTTTATATCTCACCTCTCTACATCTTATCCCACATTTGTTTTTGTGTGTGTGTGTGGTTTTTTTTTTTTTAGTCAGTTGGCACTTTCAACAGTCTGTGTGGAAATTTCCTTAACCAAATACGCCAGTTTGTTAGATGTATTTCCTATTTTCTGCATTTCAGCATGCAACAGTGTTGCCAAACTTTCTGTCACTACATAACAGGCATCCCTTTTTCTCCAGCCTTTTATAACAATTTCCTCCCTTCAAAGACTGTACAAAGATGCACAAAATACTCTCAAATGGCCTCACAAAATATTCAGGTACATACACTGTCTAGAATCCTCAGTGTCTATATTAGTTTGATGATGTTATCAGTACTTAGAAGCTATAGCTAAGGACACCATCCTCTCCACTTCGAACCCCTACCACTCCAACCACAGAATTTAAAAGTAAAAGATTTATGATCATTCTTTGCGAGGAAAAACAAAATCATCATGTAATAGATGAGAGTAGATGTATCCAAGGAATGCTTTAGAGGCCAGCCACATTTCTCTAAAAACAGTAGACTTATGCAATATCATAGAAGACAAGTGTACTGATAGGATTAGGAGTAAAAAAAAAAGGAGGAGCCACTGAGGCAATTCAGGTGCATGCGTAGGAGTAAGAACTGCAGCCCAGAGACCTCAGGAATTAACTATGAAATGGGATGCATATCTGCTCCTGGACAAATGTCATTAAACAATTGGTTCATCCAACTGTTTGTTTTTTGTTTTTTGTTTTCTGAGAATAAAATAAACTTCTCTTATGGTTTGGCTTCCCATGCAGGTCTGTCTTGAGAGAAAGAATGGTTATATATTATCATGGTAACAGATATCCCAGTTTGTATGAGAGGTTTTTATTTTCTATTGTTATTTAATAAATTGGCATCTTGATTTATACACTCATTTGTAAGCTTGTTTTATATCACTTCGCCTGAGAAAGAAAGAGCCTCTCTGGTATGCTGCCAAAACCAGGCTTTTGACGCTGGTTGTTAGTAGGTGATGAATTCTGTATTAGCCAAGAATGGTTAGGCTATGCTGAGATACCACATAGACTCTAAATCTCAGAGAATTTAAAATCAGAAAGATTTCCTTTGTGTTTACACAAACTCCAAAGCAGA